AAGGCACCCTTCAAATGCCAGGGTACCATGGTTGGCAAGGTACATGAGTCACTATCCTCTTGGCATTCATCTCTGGTGGGGAGGACATAGGATTGAAGGGCTCCCATCTCAGTAGCCCAGCCTCAGATTAAAGTCTAGGGGCTATGGGACCAAGAGATAGCAGAAGCAACTGGTGCTTCTTCCCAGCCTGGGGGGTCTGCTGAGCTCAGAACTCGCCCTCCTCCCTGCTGGCTTCCCATCCCTCCAGCTGTGCTCAAGAGCAGGACAGAGCAGGTATTCCTGTCTGTACACTAGGTACAGGTCCCTCTTCTCAAATGACAGTGGCAGTGTGAGGATGGAGACCTGGGTGGCTGCTGATTTGATGGGACTGGAAGGCCACTCCAGACTGAAGACACTAGCATGAGCCAGGCATCCGACAGTGAAACAGCCCCTTCAAGAGTGTATGTGTGAGGCTGGTACTAGATGGACTCAGGGTCACCCAAGAAGAGACAGCTGGTGATGTTGGAGGAGCAAGTATGGGGAGGCAGTTGGACAAGCACAGGACCATGGGAAGTACAAGGGACTGCTGTATGGTATGTACATGAAAGGGTCGGGGGCATGGGTGTGAATTTTCTAGGGCTGCCAGGACAAGTGACCAAAACTGAGAAGTATAGTCTCATAGGACCATTAAGCTGTCTAGGGCTCTAGGGGAGAATCCTTTCTTGTCTTCTCCCAGCTCTCATGACTGTGAAGTCCTTATCCTTCCTTGGCTTGTTGCTGCATTACTCTAGACACTGCCTCTATCTTGCCTTGGCTTCCTCCCTCTCTCTGTCTGATGTGTCTCTCTGTCCAGAGTCTCTTCTTATATGGATATCAGAATAAAGGACCCAGCCTTATCCCATATGGCCTCATCTTAACTCAAATGTATGTGTATTTCCAATTAAAGTCACATTCACAGGTACTGGGGATTAAGGTTCCAATAAATGTTTTGAGGTCATAATTCTGCCCAGTATGGGGCATTAAGTCTACAGATGGCCCTAAGCTGCAGGTTTCACCCCTTGGTGACATCTTCGCAGGGTTCTTTGAGCTATTTAGCACATGGCACACATCAGCTTTTTAATTTGTGTTCCCTTGACCTGTCTAGGACCAGAACTTATTCACCCTAGTCTTCTCCACCTGATGCATTGACATATAGTAGGCCTTCGGTATTTTCTGAATGAAGAACCAAGGCTGGGCAGATGGCTAGATAGATGGATCGATGTTAACTATTTCCCTATCAGAGAGGTCTCTCCAACAGCTCCCTCCCCACCTTTGCGCCTCTCGTCCCCTTTCATCCTCTCAAAACCCTCTGACTGATTTTGCTCCCTGGGAAACTTTGTCATGTGTCATGCATACTTCATTTCTGGCTCTCTCCTTTCACTAGAATGTGTACTCTAGAAGAGCAAGCATTTTGCCTATTTTTTTTTCAGTACTATATCCACAGTGTCTAAAACATCTATAAAATGGGCAGATGAGGGACTGAAGAAATGACTTAGTAATCAATTGCAGAGGACCCAGGTTCTGTTCCCAGTGCCCACATGGTTCATAACTCTAGTTCCAAGGGATCTGACACCCTTTTCTGGCCCCCATAAGGCACTGCATGCATATGGGACATTTACATGCATGCAGGCTAAACACTCATACACATAAAATACAAATGAATTTTTGAAAATTTTTAAAAATGAGCAGCTGAATGGGAGGATGGGTGACTGTTAGGATGTGTGGACAAAACATGGATAGGTGAAGCCTATGGCCCAGGAAGTTTGTCACTCTCAATCACAGTGGCAGTTACTCTTGGAGCTGCCAGCATGCCTGTTTTTGGCTCAGGGCATTTTCTCTGTCCCCTGCCTTCCCATCCTCACCTGAAGTTGCAAGATTGATTTCTTCAAGGCTGTTAGCTCAGGGTGTGGCCCTTGAACTCCGGCCTGGAATGGTTCACTATCTGGACCTGAAGTGCTGTAACAGAGCTCAGCTGGGCTTATGATTAATCACCCAGAAATGGCACTATGTATGCGATTTCCCCCCAAAGCCTACCCCAGAATAGGCTGATTTTATATAACACATTTTTGCAAACACAGTAATAGTATGCTGTCCTTGGCGTGATATCTTATACTTGCACTGACCTCAGACATGGGGTATGCATGTTTGTGAGCATGTATATGTGTGTGTTTTACATGTGCTATGCCAGCACTCTGTTTGCAAAGATTCTCTGCCCACCCCCTCCCAGAGAGGCTCTTTTTCTATGATCTACTTGTCTCCAAGGTCTACTTGGCTATGGCTAAGGGCTGGATAGAGGGGTAACATAGCCATGTGTCAGAGCAAAAGGAGAAAGGTCTCCCCTAGAGAACTTGAGGAAGACCTGGGTGGGACCTGGTAGCAGTCCAAGTCCAGGGTGGCACCTCAGAGGCACAGATGTGTGTGAAGAGCCACCCTGGAGACCTGAATACTGGTTTTCTTATTCATAGAGGAGCAGACAGATGTGCTGAGCAAAGCATTAGAGCAAAGACCATGGATCCTCTCAAGGATGTGCTGAGAGCCTGGTGACACTCACTCTCTACCAGAGGAATAGATCCTGTTTGGAAAACAGGTGCATTTCTGGTCTGTAGCCAGAACCCCTCTTCTTTGGCCAGGCCACCAGAACACCAGCCAAGAGTTCTTCCAGATTCGTTATTGATCACCCCTGTCCTTGGATGCCCTTATCTAGGACATGCCCCTCTCCCAGCCCCATCTCACTGGTCACAGTTCAGGTTAACTGTTCCTGGAGATGAAGTGAGTGAGGAGGACTTTTGGGGGGTGGATGATCTCCCCCTTTAGTCCTAGGGATGAGCAAATGTCCCTGCTGAGGTTGTTCCCGGAGAGCACCTCCCTACTGCTGCTGCTTTTGTGGGTAGAGGCCAAGGTACACACTGGAACCCAGAATGAGGAGGCTGGGCCGAGGAGGCTGGCACCTCCAGGCTCATGTTGTGCCAAGCACTATGGGCAGCTCCATCCTCAGCCCCAGAGCTGAGATTCCAGTCTGCCGCCAGCTCGGGGTCTGCTTGGGAGGGTGTCTCAGCTTCCTGACCATTGTCTACCAGAGGCACGCCCAGTATGTGCCTTCGGTGACCTAGAGAGGCTGGGAGGGAGGGAGGGAAGAAGAAAGGGAAGGGAGCCAGACCAGGACCTGGTCAGGGTGGGAGAAAGGAAGTAAGAGAGGAAGACTTGGTGTTTTTCCTTGTTTTTGTTGAATATTTAAGAAAACAAATAATATCCTTTGAGAAACTCATTAAACAAAGCATATCCTAAAGGTCCCAGAGGCCCATTGTAGCTGCCTGGAGCCCGGAATCTCTTCATGCATTTTTGGCTAGATTGTTAGAGGCAAGAAAGACCGGGAGTGGGAGGGAAGGACTATCATTAAAATAGTTTAAAATGTCTTTCACTCCCTGGACTCAATAGAAGTCTGGGCCAAGTAACCATAGCTCCAAGATCCCTGTGTCAGCCTGATCTGTTGTCCCTCCTTCACCCCTCTGGAAGGTCCACCAACCTGGCCAGTCTTGCACTACCAGGGCCACCAATAATCCCTTACCCTGCCCTGTGAAGTCAGACCAAGGGAGGCTCTCCTCTAGCGTAGTATCAGTAAAGGGGGCTGCAGCCCAGCTCTTACTTGCTGCTTGACTTCTCTGGGCCTTGATCTCCCTGGCTGCCAAGTGGGGATTGGGGCAAAACAGACCCCCTCTTACCACTTTACAGCACGCCTGGCTCTGTGACTCCTCTTATCCCCTATGTAGGCCTAGGTAGTGTGAAGACCTGTACTCAGTTATCCCAGGCCTCAGCCAGGGGCTCTTTCCCCTAGATCCCCAGTCTTAGGTCCTTCTACTCCAGCCCAGTGGCCCGGGATGGAACGATAGTGCTCCTGAACATATCCCCACCTGAATACATTTTCCTGTCAGGTGTGGTGGTAGCAGGAAGGTGGTAAGAATGGAATTGGCCATCAGCCCAGGTTCTGCAGATAATTCTGCCTTGGTTTAGTATTTGGTGGGATTGGCCTTGCATTTAAGCAGGTCACTCTCTAACCTTGATGTCAATCTATAAGGAATTGTCATAAGGGCAGTATGCAAAAGTCATCCTTAGACTTTCTCCCAGTCCCTCCTCTGAAGTTTAGAAAGGCAATTAGCTCTTTACCTGTTTTCTCTAAATGCTTTCCAAGAAATAGAAAGGTAAAACTACACAACGGGGTTGGCCTGGGATTTGGAGACAGCTTACTTCTGCTCAGGGCTCAGAGTTGGCACACTCATCTCCCAACAGCCCAGAGCAGAAGGTGGTAACATTTCTCTTTTTTTAACAAAATGAGATCGGAGAAGGAGCCTATAGAGCCATTAACTACCTTGGCCCCTTTTAGGTGAAGGGGGAATATTCACCCCTTTGACTTGGGGCTCCATAAGAAAGGGTCCCAGTGGTCTGTTTCCTTTCCACATAAGAAAGCCTTGCAGGCAATACACATGCATTTCTCAGATGCTTATCTCAGTTGCTTGCTCCTATCCAGGCCATCCCATCATGCTTTTCTGTTCCCTGGTTGCTGCTCTGGACTGTGATGGCCACTGCAGGGCATGACTGACACATAGGACAATTGTGCATGAAATCAGCCCCCAACCAATGAGAAAGATGGGACATATTGGTGGCCCTGGGTCTGCTGCTGCCCTTCTCTGCAAGACCTTGAACTACTTACTCAGCCTTGATCTGAATAGCCTTCTCTATATTTGAGAGCTTGGACATGATGAATTCTGAGCTCTCCTTTGTCTCTCTGTTCTTTGAGTCTAGAATTCTAGCATCTCACAGAGTGAGAGATTCATTCATTCTAATATTTTGCATTTTCTAGTCTGATTTAGTGGTCAGAGTCTAGCTTCGCCTGTCCTTTGCTGAGTGCTGTCATAGTAAATGTGGTCCTAGACAGTCTTCACTGTCCTGAAGAAACTATTCATGTCCTCTCTCTCTCCATGTCACAGGGCTACCACCCAATGCCCCATGAAGTGGAGATTGCACACACCAAGAAGCTGTTCCGGAGGAGGAGAAACGATCGAAGGTAGGAAAGATCATCTTGAATGCTGGTACTCTTTCTTGCGCCAACTCCTGTGCAAGTCAGCTCTGGCTTGTGCTGTGCTCAGACTGACACCTGTGACATGAGGCTTACACTAGTAAGACAAGTCAGGCATCTTTGAGTTGACAGCGCAGTGGGCTTGGTTATATACCACCAACTACACTTCCTTCTGTGGCTCAGGGACTGGGTCCCTTCAGGAGTCCATCCGAGTGCCACTGTCTCTACTCTTTCCTGGGAGCAAGTATTACCCAGGCTTTGCAGATCACAAGTGCTTTTTCCGTTGATCCCAAAGTAGCAGCATGTCCTCAAAGAATAGAGACCATGGACTGCATGTTTAGGGATATGACCTCCAGGAGGCTCTCTGAGCTCACAAATCCAACAGCATCCATCTTTCTGTCCTTTCTGTCTCCTAGTCATTGGGAATTATCTTGTGCATGAGTTGTGCCCTGCAGTCACCATTATAGTCCAGGGTAGCAACCAGGGGACAGGAAAGGCGTCACGAGATGGCCCAGATAGGAGCAAGCAACTAAGTGAGCATCAGAGAAATGCATGCATGTACTGCTTGCAAGGCATGCAGTCACCATTATAGTCCAGGGTAGCAACCAGGGGACAGGAAAGGCGTCATGAGATGGCCCAGATAGGAGCAAGCAACTAAGTGAGCATCAGAGAAATGCATTGCATGTACTGCCTGCAAGGCGGCCCTGCAGTCACCATTATAGTCCAGGGTAGCAACCAGGGGACAGGAAAGGCGTCACGAGATGGCCCAGATAGGAGCAAGCAACTAAGTGAGCATCAGAGAAATGCATGCATGTACTGCTTGCAAGGCATTCTTATGTGGAATGGTCTTTTTGATACAGTTTAAATGAAAAAATCCAGGTGCAGAATCATACTGTGTGCAGCCATTTGTACAAAAGGGGGAGGAAGGGTGATTTATTTGTTTATTTATTTATTTATTTAGCTTGAGTGTGCAAAAAAATATTTCTGGATGGGAATCCAAACAAAGAACCAGAAGGCTTATGCCTGAGGAATTAAAATGAGGTGCTCCTCTATAGGGAATTTATTCTTAGACAAAGGTGATAGCTTGTGGTTTTACCTTTAATGAACAGAGCATGTTCTCTAAGATACAGGAAATAGCCAGCTGACATCCTGCACTAAGAAAAGTAGGAGCCCCTGCCCTCGTGCTGCATGGCTATGGCCAAGCTGGGCCTCTGACCCTTCACTCTGCATGCAGGCCCTGAACCAGGAATCATAGCTGTGACCACAGCTCTGAAAGTAGACAGAGGATGGGCAGGTAGAATGTCTCTCTGCAGCAGTGAATTTTCTAGTTCTAAAAACATTCACAGGGGATAATGAATGTCCAGCTAGTTGGGAAGCAGGCCACCCTGGGTGAGGAATGGGAACCACCAGGCACCAGAATAGAAAACTGTGCCAGGAAAGCTGGACCAAGCCCTGCTCCTGCCCTGACCAGGGTACAATTGATAGCCTGGCCCATACCACCTCTTTGCTATGCAGCATCACACAGGATGATTCTTAGTTTCTAGGTTCTTGGTGGAGAAGGACATTGGGAGCACCTCTAAAGGAGCAATGATATTTATAATGGCCTGGGAAGAGTTGGGAAGAGCAGAGGCTTTCTGTCCCATCTCCCCTGTCTAATAGTGTGTGTCTCAGAGGTGCCATGAGTCTGCAAGCATACAAAGGAGAAGGCTTCTCAAGGCACTGACATCTAGGTCAGCCCACATGATGGTTTTGGGACTAGGTTGCTGTGCTCTGCAGGAGTCTCCTAGAGAGGGCAGGCCTCCGGAAACAGCATCATGACCTAGGAATGTCGGAGAAGGAGAGCTATGTCACGTGAGGACTGGGATGCTGAACATCCACCAAACTATATTCATGGTAGTAAATTCCCCGGGTAGGTCAGCACACCTCGCAAAGGATGTGGCCTGGGGCCAGCATCCAAAGAGAAGCAATAAAGATGATTAAAGGGATGGAAAGTATGTCCTGTGAAGGGGACTGGAAGACTAGAGCCAGGGAAGAGGAAAGAATAACCACATGGTGAAATCTGTGGAAGATTTATGTGGAGGAAGAAGAGGCAGCAGAGACCCCAACTGGAGGTCAGCTAAAACAAAAGAAGATTGTTTTGAGTGGGACCAACAACTGGCTTGAGGAGGGAGTACCGTGACCATTGGGGTCAGACTGCTGCTCAGGATAGCAGTCACACACTGAGGTGAAGTGTGTGCTGGTCAAGGAATGTGGCTCTCATTGCCATTCAGAAATACAACATGGCCCGTTTTTGACTGGGAGTTCCTGTTCCAGAAACAGGAACAGTGGAGATTTTCAGAGGAGAGCAAGCAGCCATGTAGTTGAAAGACCTCATTATCTAAAAACAGAAGACTCCTGAGTCTTGGGAACTGTGGCGATTGTGGTATTCATGGCTATAGAATATGATCAGGTCAGCTCCAACCCCTCTCCCAGCAGGTGACCCTCAAGTGGCATTGTCAGGTACCAAAGCTTTACATTTGACCTAGGTAGTTGACATGTCTATGCAACAGGCTAGCCTTGCTAGCATTTGAACATAACCCATGTAGAAGGGCTTACATTCCCTGGGCATAGCGTGTGACACAGAGAGAAGAGATCAGAATTAGGAATGGTAGCCAAGGGGCACAGCATCCAGAGAGCATCTCTCATGTTGTCATTTGTCACATGAAGGGAAGGGGCAGGCTATAGCCCCTGGCTATAGTCACTCCATCTTAGGACATGAATGTGACCCTGTTGCTCACCTTGGAATGCCTGCAGGACTCTGTGACTTCTGTCTTCCTATGGAGTGACTAGAATTAGAGTCTAATGGCTGCAGACTCCGTGGCACATTGCTGCATCTAGAAGTGTGTGATACCTCAGAGCTGGGGCAGGCATTCTCAAACTGGGACCTATCATCCCTCTCCGGGTAGAAGTTTGCCTCATGCAGCAACCTCTGGCTCCCCTTCCCCTTCCCACAGGCTACTTCACACGGCTCTGATTAAAACTGAGTTGTGGATGTCTTTCCCCAATTTTGGAGAAAAGATTAAGCAGCTCAAAAAAGTTCGAAAGCTCTCTCCTTTAGGATGTTCTCAAAATTTGGACAGCTGATAACCACTTGTTTGCTTATTTATTTTTGGAAACGAATAAAAGATAAGATAACCAATTCCAGACAAAATTGTGCATTTTGGAATAATGGTATAAATAAGCATTCCATGCAAGGAATATAGCTTTGTATGCTTCATCCCCACCCAGCTGGAGACCTGGACATGAGGAGGGACTGCTGGATTTGTCTGCCTCCCCCTAACATGCTCTGCTCCCAGCATCTAGGAATAAGAACAAATTTACTAGGTGGGGGGCTGAAGTCCTGGCCCATAGCCTCTGTTTACTTTAGTGGACTCCCTGGCCCCTTCAGGGTGGGGAGTGATGTTCCTGCAACCCTCCTCCCATTCCTACCTCCGGGCTCCATTCTAAGAGAGGAGCGTGTCAAGGCAGGGAACAAATGCTGCATGCCATAGTGTCTGCAGCCTGGCAACAGACTCTAGGTGAAAGTGAGTTTAAGAAGGCCTGTATTAGGATGCGCCCTGTAGAAGGAAGTGGCAGGCGACAGCCAGATGGGGCAGAGAGAAGTTAAACTCTAGGGCATGGTCGGGTGTTCCAACCCTACAGGTAGTTCTGAAGTGGGGGAGTTGACCTACGATGGAGTGACTAAGCAAGCAGAGTTTGCCCTGTAGAAGGAAGTGGCAGGCGACAGCCAGATGGGGCAGAGAGAAGTTGAACTCTAGGGCATGGTCGGGTGTTCCAACCCTACAGGTAGTTCTGAAGTAGGGGAGTTGACCTACGATGGAGTGACTACGCCCCATGTCCCTTGATCATCAGAAGGAGCCATAATCTCCGAGTGAGGGGCTCTTTTCAGCAAAGCATAGGGTCATTTCTACAGGGGCTGCCAGGGGAGTAAGAGCTGTTCCTAAAGGGGATGTAAGCAGTGCACTGAGCTCCCCGAAGTGAGGCACTGTTGCCTCCCTCCCTCCCCCACCTAGGATTGTTCTCGATGGTATGTTCTATGTCCTGGAGAACAGCAGCATACAAAGTATGTCCTTTGTGGTCAAGGGCCTGAGGTGGAGCCTGCACAGTGGCACTCCGACTGCAGAATTAACCAGAGTATTGTGTGTGTCTGTGTAGCATCTGAGTTAAAACAGAGCTAATTCCAATAAGGAGCCATCACTGGGGGCTGAAAGAGTGATTCTGGAATGTTTCCTGCATAAGGTCATGATTGAACCACTAGTGAAATTCCAGAAGAATTTGAAAGGGAGGTGAGAGTGTGAAGGATGAGAGCCACAGCTAGGCAGGTGACATTGCAAGGAATACCACCCTCCCTAGGAGCCATCCCACACAGTTCCTAGAAACAGAGTCAGATATGTGGCTCAGTAGCCCTGCTGTGCTGATTCAGAGTGGGAAGCCAGGACCTGCTGGTTCCAAGGATCCTCTGCGCAGACTATCGTGAGTCTCACAAGACCCTACAGGCTCCAAAGCCTGGCCTTCAGCAATTAGAGTAGCAAAGCTAATAGAGGCATCAGCGGTCCATTCACAGTGTCCACCTGTGCAGCCAAGGAGACAGGAAAGCCCGTCTCCAAATTAACGTGCTTCTTTAAGTGAGGTCTCTGAATGGTTAATGTACTCCATGTACAAAGCAGATGGACAGGAAGAAATAAAGAATACCTTGGCCATGTCGGCTAGCGTCAGATGGTTCCACTGGGCAATAGGCAGGAGAGCAAGCCATCCCCCTGGGGTGTAGAGTCGAGCCACATGCTGGACACTGCAGGGTGGCCATGGCCTCTGTCCTACAACTGACCATGACTACAGCTTGGTGTCCTCAAATTGTAGAATCAATTAAGAATCTTGTCCCTTCCTCTTCTTCTTCCGGCACCGTACTCAGATCCCAAGTATCAGCTATCAGATCTGATTTTGCAAGCTCT